GAACTAATTTTACAGACAAATCTTTAAATACAAATTGTTTCCTAGAAGATATACAAATGAACATAGCTAATAAATGAGGGAGGAATATGCTTACAGTGTAGTTATTCCAGGAGTCGTCTGAGGATGTCACAGTGTTATTCCAATCTGCTCAACAAGAGGGAAAATTAATTATAATTACAAAATTTAGTTTTTGCTACATCTATAAATATTACCCACAAGGCCAATATGTCTTATACCATGTAAGGGTTCGGATTTAATATGGCAGGAGATTCATTGAACAGCATGTTTTGAAGATTTAAATAATCGAAGTATATTTGAAAAATCTATTTATATCAAGGAATCTATTCTTTGCATTGTTTCTAAGTGTCTATGACTGAAACACAGAAACGCCTTTCTGCTGATATCTTACATAATATAAGGGTTGCAACACCCTGGCAAGGAGTCCCTTTTACTGCATTTAAAGATGATGAAGCATACATGATGACTCCATATTTCTAATTTTAGCAAATGACAGACATCTCTGCTGTCAGTGTACACACAGTGCCCACACAATGAACGGAAACACTACCAGTCTATGGGAGTCCCCAACAACTGCCAAAGCTGACATTGCCCAGCACGAATAAAGTTGAATGACTCATAGCCCCCTCATTCTCACTGTACTGTGTTTACTTTTCACTCTCTGTGAGAGTCCTGACAAGGAGCCAAAGGCAATGACTAGGTGTAGGCAGCATCTACAATCTGGGCTCTGTTTGTGAGCTAGGACCTAAAGTAAAACCGAATCAGAGAAAACTTGAATTCAATCCTGACCATATTCATTAGCAAAGTGACCTCATAATCAAGGCGCTACAATAAGCACTTAGGAATGCACGCATGGGCACTCAGCACTGTAGGAACACGGGCGATGTTATTATTATTGTTGTGTGATGGAAGGAGCAGGGAGCAGGGGCGTGAACACCTTGGAGTTCACTTTAGAAATATCGTACCGCTTGTGTAATGAGGATAATATTCAACAACTTCTCCAAAGAAGTGTGCCTAGAATAGGGGCCAAATGGAAGGGTGTGTGTCTCCAAAGGGAACTAAGGAGTTTCCCCAATCTAGCAGTGACATAAATTACCATGAACTAATGAAATGGGATGGCGCATAGGGTTCCTGAGAAGCACAGATATGAAAGGCAGGTGGTGGCCTGCCTTTCGATCCTAATATTTCTTGCTTTTGCAGAATGTTCACCAAGGGAGAGATTCCTTGAGCAATGCAAGGACTCACCCAGGAGCCTCAAGTCACAAGGCCAAAATGCCACAAGTCAAGGAAACCAGGGACCCAGCTGCTTCGTTCCCTGATCCCCACGGCAAAGCCCTTCTCTGAGCAGGGTTAGGTGACATAGCCTTAAAGAGCCTGAACCCACTCCTTCCTTCTTCTTCACACCTGGGAACAGTGGCAGACAGCGGCTCCTGCTGCCTTGAGTTTGGATCTAGTTTCATTTTGTTTTTCTGCCTGGAAACAGTTCACACTAAAGATTTCCCTGTCAACATTGAGAGGTCACCATTACCTAATCCTTCCTGGTTCTGTGGGTTCACTGCATATGACTTTAAATTAAGTCGTCTTCAGGAAAGCCTAGGAAAAGGTCAGCCACATAGATGAGGAGACCACAGAGAAGCAACTTATGAGAATATTGAGTCACACACATACGTTAGCACACACACACACACACACACACACAACCACCCAGAGTCCTGCAGGACTGGCCCTGTTAGGAGGTACCTCAAGGACATATGGGTCAGCTCTGCACCAGAAAAGGCAGCATGTAGCAGTCTCAGCTGACCCCTGTTGATAGTGTGGAGCTGTCTGAGAAAGATGGCAGAGCCCAGCATCTCCACAGCTGGTCAAGCAGCACATGCCACTACAGTTTTAAGGAGAAGTATAAGACCCAACCAGAGTGTGGATGGTGGGACAGAGTGTACCGAGTGAGTGAGGATCAGGGTCTCAGCGCTGCAAGCCTATGTGGTGTTGCTGTTCGTACACTCAACCCCCCTTAGTCCACTTGGGTTGTTATTCCAAAACTTCTTAGAGTGAGTAAATTATAAACAAAAGAAATGCATTGGTCATAGTTCTAAAGGCTGGGAAATCCCAGATCCAGACACGAGCTGACTGGGTAGCTGCTGAGGGCTCCTTTGTTCAGAGATGATTCTTCTTGTGTGTCCCCCAAGGGAAGAAAAGGGAAAACCAGCCCCATCAGCACTGTCACAAAGGATCTAACACTGTGCACGAACATCTTACTTTTATATCCTAATCACCTTCCAGATGACCTCAGCGTTTAATTACACATTACCAAAGGAAATACGGGGACACATTCAGACCACAGTGCAACCTCCCATTTCCCGTGTGAGCCTAAGACTGACAAGGCAAGAGAGGAGACTCTTTGCTGTCCTGGAGGAAGTACAAGTGCGGCCACCGGGAAGCTGGTCCACTGTTTTGAGTCCCAAACAACTAAACCCAGGGATGAGCCTGGAATCAAACTGAGTGATTTGCTTTGTAAAAGAGTCACACGGACATAGGTGTTCCCAAGTCATAGCAGCTACCCGTTGTGGAATATTCCTTTACACTGTGTGAAGGTGTGTCACTGTGACTGATTAAAGAGCCGAATGGTCAATAGCTAGGCAGGAAGAAGTTGGGAGGGACTTCTTGGGACAGAGAGAACCCAGAGAGGAAGAAAGGTGGAGTCCCCAGTCAGATTGAGGGGAAGCAGGATGGGGACAACAGGGTACAGATAGTGGAGCCACACTAAAAGAAAAAACTAGATTAAAAGATATGTGTTAATATAAGCTATAAGAACTGTTTAGAGACAAGCCTAAGCTAAGGCTGAACTTTCATAATTAATAATAAGTCTCTGTGTCATTTTTTGTGAGCTGCCACACCAAAGAAAAATCTGTCCACAGCTACCTGTGCCAGTTATCTGGGCACTATACCTAACAGTGTAGGTGTTATCTACACTGTATCTATCACTTAGGCCCTTTGCGAATATGACCCAAGTCCCCCATCACATTTTGTAACCACAATATTCAGTAAAAATTTATTACAATCAACTGATTTTACTTTTAAAAAGTGTCGTTATGTTCACTGAGTAAATAATGTCACAGATTCAAGAGGGTGTGACTTTCTGTAAGTCACACAACTGTTAGGCAAAACAGAGATAGAACAGGAAAGATAGGAGTAATCAATGAGCCCCAGAAGGGAAGCCTGAGGCAGGTGGCGAGGCAATGGCTCATTGTCCCGGGATGGACAAGAGGGTGGTTGTATTGCTTATTCTGTTAACACATTCAAGAAACTTTGGGGGAACCACTGATAAAAAAAAAAACAGAATTTCCTGTTGAGGCAATCTATGCTGTTCGCAGACATTTTAAACCAACTGGCCATAAGCAGCAAGCAAGGCACACTTGCTGAGGGTCAAATAATGTAGAAACTCCTGTTCCTAGTCCTTCCCTCCCCTTCCTGAATATAAACAAATATCCCTCCGAAATCTGTATCACAACATGGCTTATGGAAGAAAATGATTTAAATATAAGTTTGTTGTAAGTTACATCTTGGAGTATTGTTTCTAAACCAACAGCACCAAGAGGGATGGGGCACTTCTTACAAACCTCCAGAGATCCATCTTAAGAGCCACCAACATCATCACATGTACACTCAATGTAAAGACACCTAAGTACTCTGTATAGTGTGTCCTATTCCTTTCATAAACATCTCATTTCTTAGTGACCATGTTGTTAGGATCTGAGTTAAATCTTTTTTTTTTTTGGTTTTTCAAGACAAGGTTTCTCTGTAGCTTTGGTGCCTTTCCCGGAACTAGCTCTTGTAGACCAGGCTGGCCTCGAACTCCCAGAGATCCGCCTACCTCTGCCTCCCGAGTGCTGGGATTAAAGGCGTGCGCCACCACCGCCCGGCCTGAGTTAAATCTTGATAAACTTTCCACACTTTATCATGTTGACTGTCCCTGACATTCTTTCCTTCAAACAAGCCGCACAGCCTAGCTTGGCCTGAATGGAGGGACGTCTGGAGGATGCTGTCGGGGTGGAATGGAGCTGTACCTCTGTCCCTGCCACCCCTTACAATGTCAGATTTGCATTGCTGCAAAGGTTGTGTGCTCTTTAACACCAGCTTTACCAAGATGCGGACCTTCCAGGGGATCGGGCGGGGGGACATAGTTACCTGCAGGGGTATAGGATACAGTTTCTGTCACCTCGGCTGTAGTCTGACTTGGGTAAGATGTAGTGGATTCTGGAATGAGAACAATGCAAGAACTGTTTCAGCTTTAGAGTTTGGACCTCACCAAGGAAAACAGAAACAAAACTTACCATTGCCTCTCCCAGTGCCTACCCCAGCCTCCTAAGGAAAAATGATTCCTTCCTACTCATTTTCGCATCTGCTGACTCCTCTGAGAAATGTACCCAAAGATGGGCACTGTCTGTCATTGGCACACTATCCTGAGCAAGTGAGATGTGGGTTCCGATTTTCTGACAACTTTGTCAGGATTCAGAATTTCTTTACACTTCCCATTCTACACTCCTGAACTCTAACTGGGGTGGATGCCTCTAGGTGCCAGCACTCATAGGCAGAGGAAAGTGAAATTCTGTGTAGGAGCAAACCTGGTATACAGAGCAAGTTTTGGGACAGCCAGGACTACACAGAGAAATCCTGTCTTCAAGAAACCAAAAACCAATTCCAAAACAAAACAAAAAATAGACTCCCAAACTCCTCTGAAACATAGTTGATATGAACACATGGAAAATTGAACATTTAGTTAAGATTATGATTTATCAAGTCAAGGGTCATTTCACCTTCTAGAAAGGGCCTGGATGTTTCTCACCCCTCTTTGTGAGGCTATTGTTGGGACACAGCTAAGAACTCTCCACCTATATTATATTTCTGTCTTGACTCAGTGTCTGTGTGTCCTACAGATGCTTATAAGAAGGACTCTGTGTCCTGAGTCAGCATTGGGTTTTTACCTGACATGTGAGTCTGCGTGTGCGCTAGTGTTGTTGGAGCAAAGGTAGAGACTCTGGGTGATGCTGGCACACGTGTGAGTCCTGTTGACAGAGTCGTGGGTCTCCCTGTAGTTGTGGGTCTTCCTGCAGTTGTGGGTCTTCCTGTAGTTGTGGGTCTCTCTGTAGTTGTGGATCTTGTTATAGTTGTGGGTCTCCTTGTAGTTGTGGGTCTTCCTGCAGCTGTGGGTCTTCCTGTAGTTGTGGGTCTCCCTGTAATTGTGGGTCTCCTTGTAGTTGTGGGTCTTGTTGGAGGACTTATGGGAATTTCTGGGTTTGGAAATCAAAATGAAATAAGGATGAGTCAACAAGAGACAAGAGTTTCTTCTGTAGCACCAGTGAGAGGCTTTCCCCACCCAAATTCCTCTCCTGAACTTCTCTTATTTGCCATTGACCAACTAGGATGTTGTGGGTAGGGGAATTAGAGACAGCTCACCAATAGGGGAGGCTGTACCGACAGCACAGAGATGAGAACACAGCCCGTTCCTAAGGACACAGTATAAATGACAGCTGTCAGTTCCTCAGATCTCTCAGCATCTCTGAGACTGAGAGGGTATGGGGAACTGGGACTTCTCTCAGTAATGACTGACTTCACCCACAGTTTCCAGGCCCAGCAGAGCTTCAGTCAGTCCCAAGAGGACACAGCATATAGCCCTGCATCTTAGCACACACATCCCACACGAATCCCAACACAAATGGGGTTTGCATATTTGGATAGAGAGTGGACATTGTCTTCTATGGTTTCTTACAATCTGACAGAGACAAGGTGAATACTCCTTATCAAAAAAAAAAAATGGTTGGTTCCTGGAGTTAAAGTATTTAACTCTTCCGTAACAATTCAGAATATTTGCATATAAATAATATCTTATGGGTCAGGCTCAAGTATAAACATTAGATACATAGCATTCATATAACTACACATTACATATATAGCTTAAAAGGTAACTTTAGAAACTGTGGATAATTGTGTACATGATAGTGTCTTGGCATTGAATTTTCCAGATGCATTTCAAGTCCATGCTCAAAAGGTTTCAGATTTTAAATCTGGATTAGGCAGGTTCAACCTACAATTTACAAATCAACAGCATCTGTTGTATTAGTTAAAACATTGCTTCACCCATTAGCTTTAGTTTTTTGTTGGCTAACTCTTACATATTATTTTAACCCATTTCTATTAATCTGTGCATCACCATGAGGTCATGGCCTACTAGCAAAGTTTCAGCATGCCTAACTCTGGTAGTGGCTCCATAACATCTCTCTCTCTGACTCTGCCTTCTTCCTCCCAGCATTTCATTTAGTTTTCCCCACCTACCTAAGTTCTGCCCTATCAACAGGCCCAAAGCAGTTTCTTTATTCATTAATGGTAATCACAGCATACAGAGGAAAAATCCCACATCACCTCCCCTTTTCCATTTAAATAAAAAGGTTTTAACTTTAACATAGTAAAATTACATATAACAAAACAGTTATCAAGCAAGAATTATAGTTATGATATTTATTTATATCTACTTTATCTTTTATCATAATTAAGGAAAACTGTAGTCATAACTATCGATTCTTTAACTCCATCAAAGACTCTACCTAAGTAAACAGGAAATACATTGTAAACAACTTCCAAAACTCTAGAATTGACAGAGACATCTGACTGCCTGGACAGTCACCCATTGTTTTTCTGCACCATTGGGGCATCCATCTTCAGCCTCCGGGCCCGTAGTATCCGACAGACTTTTCCATGAAGCAGGAAATTTTAAAGACAGTTCTGCCTATATTGGCAGTTTGCCAGTCACTTTCTCCTGTATCCTGCTGAATGTCTCACAGACACTTTCATGAAATAGGAATCCCAAAGAATTGTCTCACCTTTAGGCAAGTTCAATAGTCATTTCTCTGTGGATCTTGCATGTCCAGTTCATCTAACAAACTCCATAAGGAGCCTCTTCGATGCCCATCTTCCTTTTGAAGTAGATTGGTGCTGTCAGGAGCAGGTGTGTTTCACTGTCTTGAATTAATATTCATTTTAGGACTTCATCTAAGCAAACAATGTTGTTCGGTACTTCTAAAGAGAATATTTAAAGCTTGGTTTGGTGGCACATGCCTGTGTTCTCAACACTGGAGTCAGAGGCAGGTGGATCAGAAGAGCATGACCATCAGAGGATAGCCTGAGATACAGGAGAGTTGGTCTTTACACTACTCAAAAGCAAGCGTTTAATCAACATGTTCATAAGAACTTTGTGTTTCCTTGTTCTAGGAAAAGAACAAATTACTAGCAAACAGAAGACACAGTTCACCTACAAGAAATAAGGAAAGAAAACAAAGAAAGCTTACCTGGTTTAACTTCCAATGAAAAGGTCACTTTGAGATCATTGAACCATCCATGAACCTCCACGCGACAACAATACAGACCACTGTCACTCGGGACAGCATTCTCTATTGTCAAGGACACGTTTCCTCCTGAAATATTCCCCTTTAGCTGGTATCTGCTGCTCCTCTGATAGGTGACGCGGTATCCATTGGTCCAGATAAGTGTGTTGGTACAATGAGAAGACGGGCATGCCCCTTGGCCCCAGCATGTGGTAAAGATTCCACCACGTGTTGAGTAAGTACACGGCAGTGTGACAGGGTGACCCACTACCCCCTTCACTACTTCATAAGAATCCACAGCACCTGTGGGTTGTAAGATGTAAGAAGGGGGGAGAGGGGAAGAAATGGAGTATTAGTACTCACAATGTTTCAACAATTTTGTTATTGTTTTTCAGAAAAATTGTAGGGAGATGGGGAGGGGGACTTGAGTGGAGCCCCAGCTGCAGCTCTTCTTTTTCATTCCTCTGTTTGTTTGCGTTATTGTTTTGGTTCTGGAGGTTTTTTTTTTTTTTTTTTTTTTTTTGTGGGTAGGCATAAAAGGGAATGACAATTTTTGTTGTTGTTATCCTTTGGTTTTCTGAGCCAGGATCTCACTTTGTAGCCTTGGCTGACCTGGAACTTGCTGCATAAACCAGGCTGACTTCAAACTCTCAGAGCTCTGCTGCCTCTACCTCCCCAATACTCCAGTTTTACTGCTTGAATTTGAAGACTGTAAACATTTTCCTGTTAACATATTCTTCCTCACTGTGATCACTTAGTGGATACACTTGTGAGCATGATATTCTCTCGCTTTTATCTTTCTTCTTCAGAGTGTGTGTTTCTTTTGGAGACAGGGTCTTGCTCTATGTCTCATGGTGACTGAAAATCACAATCCTCCCACCTCTGCCTCCTGAGTGCGGAATAATTCGCATGGCCCACTGAAACCAGCACAAATGTTTCATCATTAAACTTTTAAAACTTTATTTTAGAAGCTGGGCCCATGGGCAGCTCTCGTATACCAAGAACTCACTTATAGTCCCAGAATTCAGGAGGTAGAGGGAGGAAGATGAGGAATTCAAGGCCAGCTCACTAATGAGTTCAAGACAGGCCTAGCTTTTGGAGACCCTGTCTCAACCATCTCCCCTCCTCTCCCACAGTGCTATGACAACAAAATCACTAACTATTCCCCACTTCTCATCAAACAGCAGAACCAGGGCTTTAGAAAAGCCCTGTTGGCTTCAAGGCAGAAAGTTAGCAACTTCAAAATCAATCGTCTGAAAGGGTTTTAGAAAACCACCAGGAGGGGCTGAGGCTTATTCTGAACTTTATGATTATCCCTTTATGAACAACAACAACAACAACAAAAAAAAAAAAACAAAAACACAAACAACCAACCAAACAAAAAACACTAAGCAGCCCTTTTTTGAATTGGTGACATACCAGAACTTGAGCAAGACCCTTGTAAAGACCACATAACCAGAGAATATGTTCTGGTAACTTTAATGATACAATTTTAAAAACTAAAATAATAAAATATACACTGGAATAGAATTTCCAACACCAATAGTTTCCAAGGGGACCTTTAAGGGAACTCTGAGGGCTGAGGATGGAGCTCAACGACACAGTGCTTGGGCTAGCCCATGCTAGCCCCTGTGTTGGATCACACCACTGGAAACAAACAAATAAGCCCCCAAAAAAGCACAGAACAATGAATTACAATATTCTCAACTAATCACCTACTTGCAGGCCTAGGATGCGAGTCTGGACATGACCCAAGAAAACACAGTCCTAACTGTATAAAATGAGCATATTTCTGGGACATACATTACTTGATTTTGCCAAATACCTTTTTTAGGATCACAAATAAAATACATGCTATATTAATTAAGTCATAGAATATACTTTATCTCTCACCAGTGATCCCAGTTATTGAGACGTAGAGGCAGGAGGATCAAAACTTTGAGGTGATCCTTAGCAACCTACAGAGTTTGAGGCCAGTCTGGATTAACTTAGACCCTGTCTCAAAGAAAATTACCTTATTCCTTCTTTGCCCCTTTTCATAGATCACTTTGAATTAAAATGTTTCTTAAGATAAACAATTGAAAGTGATTGAAATAAGCAAAAATGCACAAAAATGCAATGAAGGCTAATTATGAATAGCCATCCTGCCTGGAAATCTCTGGTTCTGATTTTTAAAATAACCCAACCATTCATTATCTTAGGCATGCATGAGTACTTATCCAATATTGTCCATGACAGGCATACATGTGTTCTCACCCCTTGCCTGACATTCTCTTTTAGATAATGTTTATTTAGCCATAAGTTTGGAAATTCATACAGGTGAAGCAAGTTCCTTGGAGCTACAATTTATCCTGGTTCTCTGCTCATTGCATAACCCATGATCAAAAAAGCCCAAGGATTGTCATCTCTTCTCTCACTCTAGCCTCCTCAGCATCCCCCAGCTTGTCCACTCACTTACCTGGGAGAAGAAGTATGAGGCCAGAAATGAAGACTTGAGGCTGCATCATGGTGCTGACCTGGAGGACAAGGAGAAGAAGCTCTGGTTGCTGTGGCACTCAGCACGCTGTGCCCAGGCAGGTCTGCATTCTGACTGTGACTCACACAGGCCTATCTGCCAGGGACCCTGTCCTCCCCAACACCCTCTTCTTTCCTGGTCCTTCCTCACATCCAGCCAGCGATCTCACTTCTGGTCATGACATAAATAAGGCAGCTAACAGAGAAAACTGGAGGCAGAGACGAGAGTGTGTTCTCTTGGTAGAAGAACTCTTAAGCAAAAACCAGACTTCTAATAGCAAAGGTGCACTTGCCTCCTGGTGGACACAGAGCTGTTTCTGCCCAGTAGATACAGGGGTTAGTCCCCGAATCTCAACCACCTTAATCATAAGCAAGATGTTCTGAGTCAGAATGCTGCTGCATACAGTGTCTGATATCACATCTTCCTGGGGGATGTTACGGTAGATGTTACATGTCTTCAGATTCCAACATCTACATTTCAATGTTCATTTATTTCTTAAATGGTAAACCATAAAAACATGAGTAAGCCTGCCTAGTACTTCATTAACTCCACTTCTAGTCAGAAGAATACATGACTTCCTCTCAGAGAGGGAAGTTTGTCCTGGTACTAGTCTTCAAGATAGTAATAACTTTCACGAACCTTCCATGAGCTCAGCATCTTCAGGCCTGAGGCCCTGCACTATTACACTAACAGCCCCTGTCCTTAGAAGAGATCAGAAAACTAATAATGCTGCTAACTGCTGGCCAAACACTGATTGTAATGAACATCTTAAACATCTTATTTATTATAAGAAGTTCAAAACTTATAAAACCAACTTAAGACACAACTATCTTACTTTTTATCAGGTACCAACCATTCCGTCCCTTTAGAGTTCTATTGAGGAAGGGCCGTGTACTCGGGCATTCACTGCCTCACACAGACTTCTACCCTTCTTGACACAAACTGTCACTGAGCCATCTCACAGGGTGTCCTATCACCTACTTGCTCATAAAATGAAGGGACAAACTGTGATGGTTAATAGCTTTCCAGGCTCCCAAAGGAAACCTTCTCCACATTCTGGAATTCAACTGAGTAGGTGAGCTCTGTAATAGAGTAAGCACCTTGCTGGTGGCTGAAAATCCTTTTCTTTTCTGACTTCCCATGCTTGAGAAGAACACTTGAGTTCATCTCAACTACTGAAATTTGAGTTGTAGTTCCCTGTAGAATCCACACCTATGAAGATCCTGCAGGGAGACTATGGAAGGGTGGAAAGTTGTAGATGTTGAGCCACAAATAGTATAAATTCTCTCCCATCATTCAGTAGCCCATTTACTACCAACCCCTGTATCTCTGCTAACATCCTGTGACAATCAAGAACAACTTCTGGAATGTATTCTTATATTTTCACACAGTCAGCTTCCACCAGCCCTATAGCTAAGAATTATAGAACACCAGAAGTCTATAAAGAGATCCCTGTGTTCTTTTGTGTCCCATCTGCCTGATGTTCTCACCAGAATCCTTGGTAAATGCATCAATTTATGACTTCCTTTTATCCTGGGACTGTAAACATTCATGTAGCCTCTTCTGCAGTAGAGCATGAGCCTTGGTAACTAAAAATTTTATCCCAATAATCCCTATTTCCTTTGGAATAAGAGCAGCATTTTTTTAATTTATTAAAGATTACATTTAAAATAGTTTTTGTATCAGGCAGTACATGCGCATTCCAGGGGACACACACGGTTAGAGGACAACTATGGGTAGCTTGTTCTCTCTTTATAAATGCAGGTCGTGGGGGCTGAACTCAGGATTGGTGACAAGCACCTTTATCTACTGAGGTATCCGTGTGCTCAAGGGCAGCATCTTGCACTGTCAAAAGCTAGGAGAACCAATGCTAAAGTGGCCCACACAGAATTAAACCATGCCTCCTTCATTCAAAAGGCAAAATGGTATAATGCTAGATTTCCTATAACCTAGGACCAGGCCAAATCCCAATGTCCATAAGAAGGATTTTTGAAAAGATTTTTATTTTAGTGCAGTTATTAATAAACTAAGGTTAGGGGCGTATGATTCCGCACAATAGGGATGTAAAGTTTCTAAAATTGTGCAAGCAGCTTACCACGGGAAAGTGAGCAACCAACGAATAAATTCACAAACAATGAGACAGCTGTAAATGTGTAATCAGACCATGTCACATCCCTCTGACAGCCCTACCTCAGCTCTCTCAAGGAGCAGGGAACCCAATTTTTTTTAAAAAAGATTTGTTTATTTATTTATTATGTATACAGTGTTTTATCTGTATGTATGCTTGCTGACCAGAAGGGGCACTAGAATTCATTATAGATGGCTATGAGCCACCATGTGGTTGCTGGGAATTGAACTCAGGACCTCTGGAAGAGCAGGCAGTGCTCTTAACCTCTGAGCCATCTCTCCAGCCCCAAGGAAACCCATTTTTTTTAACCAGAGTTTTTGCAAATGTCCCAGTTATATGGTCTCTGCCTGGGGCTCAGATTTGCTTCCCTGACCTCCTGTGCCACAGTCACCCAGGCTTTCTTCCCAATTCATCTCCTGAGGTCGTTGTCCAAGTGATGCTGTCTTGACTCTTCTTCTTTTATCCCAGTTCTCACTTTTTCTTCCCTCCTACTGAACCCAGTTTAACAGTCTGGGTCATTTCCCCTGGACCACTTGCACCAAGCCCCTCTCAGACCTCAGTTGCTCATGGCTATCACGTCCTTGTTTCCCCGAACATCCACCAATGTGGGCGTGATGGCCTGGTCTCTGCATCTTTTCCCTCCTGGACAGTGCTACCAAGTAGAACCTTTGTTGTTCTTACTCTTTGTTTTAGCAGAGCTGACATGAGTTTACTAAGGCAAAGTGAAAAGGAGCTCCCAAGAGTAGAGGGGCCCCCAACTGAGGAATACTGGAGTATTCTAGAACTCCCCCTTTTTGAGAGAGAGTTTCCTTCTGACCTCTCTCTCTGTCTCCTCTCTCTATTTCTCTATCAGTTAGTCCATCTATCTGTCTTTCTGTCTGTCTGTCTCTGTGTGTATATATACATGGACACACACACACACACACACACACACACACACACACACACACACATATATATATATATATATATATATTCACCTGAACCACACTAAAAGTTTGACTTAACCCTCTTGACTATCTTCCTGCCTCTCTCTCCAGCATGCTAGGAATACAGTAGTGTGCCACCATGTCCAATCAAGAGACCCTTCTCCCACAAGGGTGTTAGTATAGATGAGCTCTGTGCAATATTGTTGTGGCCACCAGGAATGATTTAGAACTTAAAATGTGGCTAGTACAAGTTAGTAAAAATCTTCTTTTGAGACAGGGTCTCTATATGTATCCTGGCTGTCCTGAAACTCACTCTGTGGACCAGAATGGCCTCAAACTCACAGAGATCTGCCTGCCTCTGCCTCCCAAGTGTTAGGTTTAAATGTATGTGCCACCACACCCAGCTAGATTGAGAAAAAAAACTTTTTTTTGTTTTTGTTTTTCAAGACAGGGTTTGTCTGTAGCTTTGGAGCCTGTCCTGGAACTAGCTTGTGTAGACCAGGCTGGTCTCAAACTCACAGAGATCCACCTGCCTCTGCCTCCTGAGTGCTGGGATTAAAAGGCGTACACCGCCACCACCCGGTTGACTGAGAAAAATTTTAAAAGATTTGCTTTTATTCTATTTTAAATTACATATGTCTCTGTGCACTTGAGTGCAGGTGCCTGCTGAACCCAGAGACATCAGGTCCCCTAGAACTGGCATTACGGGCAGCTCTGACCTCCTGATATGGATGCTGGGAACTGAACACACATCCTCTACAGGACCAGTACATGCTCTTAACTGCTGAGCCATCTCTCCAGCCTCCGGTTGAGTAGACATCATTTTAGTTTTCCATCTGATTTTAATTTAGATATCACACATGGCTACAGTGCTGAATGGCACCAAGCATAGGTTATATTTTCCTTTGAGGTAATTTAAGAGTGGAAGAAGACATGAACAAAAGGAAATTGAAGGGTGTGAGAAGAGACAATTCCCTCATGCAGGGTTAGCAGGGTAAGAGGATAGGAGGCAACCTCTTAAATATTGACATGTGAGCTGGGCAGTGGTGGTACACACTTTTAATCCCAGTACTCAGGAGGCAGAGGCAGGTGGATCTCTGTGAGTTCCAGACCAGCCTGGTCTACAAGAACTAGTTCCAGGACAAGCTCCAAAGCTATGGAGAAACCCTGTCTCGAAAAATCAAAAAATAAAATGACATGTAAGAATCAGGAGGGAAGGATCCTATCTGTGATCCCAGCACCCAAAATGCTGAGGCAGGAGGATTGCCATTAGGTTAAGGGTAGCCTGGTCTACATAGTAAATATCAAGTTAGACAAGGCTATACAGTAAGACCCTATCAATAAAGGTAAAAACAATGTGTGGTATAGTTCTGTATACCAATCCCAGTATTGGAGAGGCTGAGGGAGGATTGGCAATGCTGAGCTAGCCTGGGCTAGAAAAGAGGAAAATATAAAGAAGCAAAACCAATGCAAGTGACAGGAGATGCTAAGATCCTAAGGAAGACAGGTGAAGGGCAGAAGTGTGGACAGGATGAGGGTGGGAGCTGAGGAGCTGATGCATTAAATAACCACCAATATTTCAGGTTCAATTTATCCACCTTAGCTTATAGGCTCCCCCAAGACCAGCCACTGTACCCTAACATTTGAAGAGAACATAACCCAGTGGAAGTTCTTACTATTTTATTTGTTACTTTTGTAGTACACTAGCTGCTGCTGTCTGTGGATGTGCGCACGCCATGGAGCTATGGGAAGGGAGAAAACACCTGTCAGAAGTGGTTTCTCTCCTTCCACTGCTGTTAAGATTCCAGGATCAACGCTGATGTCTGGTTGGCCAAGCACTTTGATCCCCTGAGCCTTCTCGGGGATGATGGGATTTTTCTTTGTTAACTCGAGCTTTGCGGTCTCCTGAGTCACTACATTTTAGGGTCAACCGTGGCATTCTTT